CCCCCCCTGCCACATCCCTTCCCCTGGAGCAGGGTTGTCTCGGGAGGCTGAAGAGCAGTGGAGCTGGGATGGGTGTGCTGATGTGCCCATGCTCCTCTCTGGGGCCAGGCTGATGTCGGGAGGCCCGACAGGCAGGTGTTTCATGGTGGGGGCGGTGCTCCGCTCTCCCCTGCCGCAGCTCAGCAGAGGTGCTGCCTTCCTGCTCTTGGGCGGCCCCAGAACGCGCACAGGCTGAATCCTGCTGCGGGGCAGGGACATGGAAGTGCTGCCTCTCTGCGGGAAGTGGTGACCTCCTGCTCTTGCTCCCAGGCTGTGGCCTCCAAGCTGGATCTGCCGGATGACCTGGTTGGCTACTTCAGTCTCTTCCTAGTGAGAGAGACCAAGGACGGAGCTTTCTCCTGTGAGTAGAGCATGCTGGGGGCAGCCCCTCGGGGGCTGCGGTGGGATGTCTGCCCTGGGAGAGCATAAGTGGTGCCTTGTCCCAGAGCGAGAGCTGTGTGCTTGGACTCCATGGCCCTGCCCCAGGTGGGGGATTCCAGTGGGCTCCCCCAGGGCACCCGGTCTGGCGGGGTGTCCGGTGGGCTGCCGCTGTCCTGAGCCTCTGCTGAGCTGCTGTTTCCCTGCAGTCGTGCGGAAGCTGCAGGAGTTTGAGCTGCCGTACGTGTCTGTCACCAGCCTGCACAACCCTGAGTTCAGGATCATCCTGCGCAAGAGGTGAGTGGAGGGCTGGCGGGGCAGTGATTGCTGAGGCAGTGGGGTGGTGTCTGGGGCTCTCTGCTCTGCAGAGGGACCCCTCCCCTCCTGCTGTTGCTGCCTCTGGAGTGCCTTGGCCCCTGGGAACACACCTGGGTGTCCCCAGCAGTGACTCCAGTAGCCGGGCTGCCCTGCTGGGCTTGGTCCCTGTTTCTGCTTTCCCAGACATGGCCCTTCCCACCTCTGCCAGCTGCTTGAGAGGGGCAGTTGGGCATGGCAACCGATGGCTATTGGGGGAGCTGGCCAGAGTGCCAGCCTGGTGCCTTGTCCCAGCGTGGGGAGTGGTTTTTCTCCCCATAGCTGTTAGGAGCTAGGGAATAGGTTGACCCATGTGGTTCCCTTCTAGCTACTGGGACTCCTCCTATGATGACGATGTAATGGAGCATCGTGTGGGGTTGAACTTGCTGTATGCGCAGGTGAGGGTCAGTGCAGCCCAGCCGGGTGGGGAGGGGCGCTGCGCCCCTCAGCTACAGCTGTGTGGGGTCTTGGGTGGCTGCGGGCCCAGCTGCTAACCAGCCTCTGCTGCGTGGTAGACGGTGTCGGACATCGAGCACGGATGGATCCTTGTTAACAAGGAACAGCACAGGCAGCTGAAGTCCCTGCAGGAAAAAGTCTCCAAGAAGGAGGTAGGGGAGGGCACGATGCTGTGACTGGAGCAGTCCCAGCACTGGACTGGCACTGCTCCCATGCGGATGCGTGGTGCCGAGCTCGGTGCCTGTTCCTGGCCCAGGAGGTGTGGTGGGAGGGCAGCCGTCTTTGCTGAGCTCCCCTGGCTCTGCCTGCAGTTCATCCGCCTGGCGCAGACCCTGAAGTACTACGGCTATCTCAAGTTCGACCCCTGCGTCACGGACTTCCCCGAGAAGGGATGCCATGTCGTCGTCAGCGCTGGCAACAACGAGCTCAACTTCCAGGTGCGGCTGCCGAGCGAGCAGATCAAGGAAGGCAGCTTCAAGGTCACGCGCATGCGGTGCTGGCGGGTCACGTCCTCGGTGAGTGCCACTTGCAGGGCCCTGGGGAGCAGAGCAGGCTCCGTGGGGCCTGGGGGGATCCGGCTGTGCCAGGCTGCTCTGGCAGCTCTGCCTGCAAAAGGTGCTGGCTGTGCTGCCAGCTTCGAGCCCAGCTGGCCTGGGGAGGGTCCAAGTCGTGCTTTGGGGCCGAGGGGATCACTGGTCCGAGGACGTTTGAGGGGGCTGCTGCTGTGG